TGGTCTCCCTCCTGACCAGCTCCATCCTGAAGCTGCCCGGGGCTCCCTGAGATTTGCCTCATTAGAACGGGCAGTCCTATCACCCGGGAAATTCCAAGGGGCTAGGAGCTCTGCCAGGAACTGGGGGCAGAGACCAATATATGTATCTTTGTTATGTCAGTGTCATATCCAAGAAATCATTGCCAACCCAATGTCGTGAAGCTTTTGCCCTGAGTTTTCTCTAAGGGTTTTTAGCTCTTACAATTAGGTCTTTGATCTGTGTTGAATTAATTTTTGCATATAGTATCAGGTAAGGAAGGGTCCGGCTTCATTCTTTTTCGTGTGGGTGTCCGGTTTTCTTGGCGCCGTTGGTTGAAAAGACTGCCCTTCCCTGTTGAATGGTCTTGGCACCTAGTGAAAAATCATTTCACCATATATGCAAGAGTGTATTTCTGTGCTCATTATTTTATGCCATTGAGCTGTATGTCTGTCTTTTTGCCAGTACCACGTGGTTTTGATTCCTGGAGCTTTGTAGTAAGTTTTGAAATTAGGAAGTGTGGGCCGTCCAGGTTTGTTCTTTTTCAAGATTATTTTGGCCGTTCAGGGTCCCTTGAGATTCCATGTGCATTTTAGATCAGTTGTTCTAATTCTGCAGAAAACAGGTTGGGATTTTGATGAAGAATTGCATTGAATTTCAGATGTTTTGGGTAATACTGATGTGTGTTAACAAATAGAATACTGTTTATTGGTATTCACTACTATTTATATTTATGATACTTATATTAATACTATTCGCGTTACCACCATTTATTCTGTTATTGAATACTATGGTATGGATATGCCACATTTTGGTTATCCATTTACCAGTTTATGGACATTTAGGTTGTTTATACTTTTTGGCTACTATAATCTGCTGTGATCAGGTGTATAAGTTTTTAACGTGAATGTATGTCTTCATTTGTCTTGGGTATGTGTGTACCTAGGATATGCGTGCGGGTTGTGTGGCAACTCTTTGGGTAGCATTGAGAAGAACCATGGAGTGTGGCGCTGAAGAGTGACGTGGCTGGATTTCTGATTTCAGAGAGATCACTGAAGTAGCACAGAGAGAATGAATTAGAAATGACCAGGATGAAGACAAGGAGATTGGTTAGTATATTACTGTAAGTTCATGCCAAAGCTGAGGTGATCCAATTAGAGGAAATCGAAACTAAGATGGGGCCAGAGGAGTGGAGTGGAGACAGATGTCATAGTAGATGTCATGGTGTCATGCCTTGGTCATATTTATGGAACTTGAAATGCTCACGAGCAGGAGACGTCGGGGTGATGCCAAGCCAATGTAAATGGAGAATGGCTTTGCCCTTGACAGATAGCTGGGGAGCCCAAGCAGCATTTTACAGTTTATTAATTTCTGGTATGTCTGGAGGTGGGTCACTGGTTCTATGCAGCTCAGTCAATGGAGATGAAATTGCTTTGCCCTGCGATCATCTTCATGAAAAGAAAGGGTTTGGCCTTATGTCTTCCTTGTTAAGAAAGTAGGACAGTAAATGACTTAGCAATTGAGTTGTCTTGGAATTAGCCACCAGATTTTGTGTATTCATCCAATAATCAATTAAGTGTAGTTAAATTAAATGTTAAGGCCCTTTTTACGTTTAAAAAAATGCTCTACTGAAAGAGGCTATTGAGTAAGGTCATGGAAAAAGGAGCAAATTACTGTTTGTCTTTAAATATCAGTTCATCTGATAAATGTGGGTTACCACCAAGTATTGGTGGCTCACCCAAAATTGCCTTTTGGTAGCCTGTGTTTGCCTACTGATATGTCTCCATTTCATGAAGTGATATCACTTAGGCTAAACTAAAATACTTCAAAGGTTTTTGGTTGTTTATAAGCTTGGGTTTCAAATTAGTACATGTTAATTGTTGAATTGGTTGCCATGTTTTGTTTGTTATGTGTATTTCTAGGAAGTTTTTGAGAACAAAAATACTTTTTCCATTTGCGACAGCAGTATGGATGATGGGACATTGCAATCTTGCTATAGGAGACTTTTCTGTTGGTATTATAGAGTAATGTAATTAGGCACTGTATGGAGCTTGAAAACATATTTAAATTTCTGTTCTGGCTGTGGTTTTATGCTTTCCCAAAATGTGGCCTGAAACCGTTTATTAGTAAATATGCTGAATTGCTTTCTCTGGCAAGTGCATTTCAGTATTGAATCCAAGTGAAAATACAAATATTTACTTATAAAAGTCTTTTGGTGTGGCAATATTTTTACTACAACCATTGACCCACTCGTAAAATGTTAGGGCATTGCTAGATTGGATCCTGTTTATTTAAAGGCCAAGAGACGGAAAGAGAGAGGAAGCTAACATTAAGTGAGTGCCCGTTATGTGCCACCGTATTTGGTACATTAACATATTACCCCTTTTCTACCCTCCTAGCAACTCAGTGAGGAAGTTTATATTCGCTCTCTTTTTCTGGCAAGAAAAATAATGCTCAAAGATATTTACGGAAATTGAGAAGCTGATTTTTAAATCTAAAAATGTAAACAATCCAAAGTAGCCAGGGCAATTTTTAAAAAGAAAAGCGAAGTTGGAAAATTAACATTACCTGACATCAAGACTTACTACAGAGCTACAGTAAACAAGACAGTGTGGTATTGGAGAAGGGAAACACATCTAGATTGGTGGCCAGAAATAGACCCATAAATATATGCTCAATTAAAGATGCCAAGGCAGTTTAATGGGGAAAGGAAAAGCTTTTCAACAGATTGTGCTAACATAACTGGATATCCATATTGAGACAAAAATGAACCTCACGATTGTGCATAAAAATTAACTCGAAAGGATCACAGATCTAAATGTAAAAGGAAAAACTATAAAACCTCCAGAAGAAAACATAGGGGGAAAATCTCTGTGACCTCCAGTTTGGAAAAGATTTCCTAGGTCACGAAAGCAAAAGTCACAAAGAAGAAAAATGATATATGGCTTTTGGTCAAAATCTAAAACTTTTGCTCTTTGAAAGACAGCATGAAGAGATCAAAAAGGCAAGCCACAGGATGGGAGAAAATACTTACAATACATTATACCTGATAAAGGACCTGTTTCCATAATAAAAAGCACTCTTAAAATTTTATGCTAAGAAGATGACCCATGTAAGAAAATGGGGAAAAGGGGCTCCTGGTGGCTCAGTCGGTTAAGTGTCCAACTTCGGCTCAGGTCGTGACGGTTCATGGGTTCGAGGCCCGTGTCCGTTTCTGTGCTGACAGCTCAGAGCCTGGAGCCTGCTTTGGATTCTGTGTCTCTCTCCCTCTGCTTCTTCCCCACTCATTCCCTCCCTCCCTCCCTCTCTCTCTCTGTCTCAAAAATAAACGTTAAAAAATATATATTTTTTTAAATGAGTAAAATGTTTGAAAAGATTCTTCACAAAAGAAATTATCCTAATGGTAAGTAAGCACACGAAAGGATATTCAGCTTCATTGGTCATTAGGGAAGTGCACATTAAAGTCATGAGGAGGTAGATCGCCCTCCACACCCATTAAAATAGTTAAAAGACTGCCAACGCCCCCCTAAAGCGGCTGGGATGTGGAGCAACTCGAATTCTTGTGCACTCTTCTGATGGTACAACCACTCTGTAAAACTGCTTGGTAGTTTCTTATAAATACACGATCTAGTCGTTGTACCCTCGGTATTTACTCGAGAGAAACGAAAACATTTGTTCACACAAACTGTGAATATATGTGAGTCTATGAATATTCTTAGTGGCTTTATTCATAATGCTCCCAAACTGGAAAGGACCCAGATGTCCATCCACAGATGAATGGGTAAACAAAATCCCAGCTCCCCATAAAGTGGACTGTGGAGTAGTAAAGGGAACAAATACTGATACAGCAACACGTATACAGTTCAGAATCATTCTGTCGGAGCTGGACACGGAAGAGTGTATACTTCCATTTACATGCTTCCCTTTGTATATACACTTCCAGAAAATGCAAACCAACCTGTGATGACGAAGTAGATTGCCAGGGGTGAAGGGTGGAGGGAAGGGTGGGCTGCAGAGGGGCACCAGGACACTTCCGGGGGTGACAGCACTGTTCTGTTTCATGGTGGTAGTGGCGGTTTCACAGGCGTATACTCTTGTCAAACTCATACACTTGAAGTGGGTGCAGTTCATTCTACATAAATCATACCTCAAGGTTATTTAAAATGAAAAAGATGAAAATGAAAAATACCGCCTGTTGGTGAGGATTAAAGCAACCAGGACCCTCATCCTCTGCCTGTGGGAGTATTCATCAGTGAACCTCTTTGGAAACCTGGCAATATCTACTACCGCTGCCCGTATATCTACCTGTGACACAGCCGTTTCATGCCCAGGTATCTACCCAGCAGACGTGTGTGCATGTGTTCACCAGATGTCTTCTACTAGAAGGTTCATAGAACACTATTCATAATAGCACTGCCTGGAAACCACCCAAATGCCCATCGACGGAATGGATGAGTAAATTGTGGTATATTGACTTGAGGGAATACTCCATGACCGTGATAATGAACGACCTACAGCTGTTTACAAGTGGTAGGCTAAAGTACTTACTGTGTGATTCCATTTGTGTAAATTTAAAAACAGGCAAAACTACTCTCTACTATGAGAAGTCAGAAAATGATTACCCTTGGGTAGAGCGCTTTGGATAAGGGAGGACAAGGTGGGTTTCTGAAGACGTGGGTAGTTTTCTGTGCCTTGCTCTGGCTGCCGGGGATGTGGGTGGGTTTAGTCTGGAGATATTTCAAGTGGCGCCCTTAATTGTGCAGCTTTCTATATGTATGGTGTATTTCAATAAAAAGTTTTTAATAGACATATACTGTCGCAGAAAGGTGTCCTTGATAAAAGTGAGAAAAGCAGGTTGTAAAACATCACGCATGATTTATGATCCCATTTATATAACTGGAATGATAATAAACTTAATCCACAGTATCTCTCTGGAACGATGATGATGCTAGGTGTGGAGGGTCATTAATTTTGCTGTTTTCTTTTTAATGCGGAACGCTTCACGAATTTGCATGTCATCCTTGTGCGAGGGCCTCACTAATCTTCTCTGTATCAGTCCAGTTTTAGTATGTGTGCTGCCAAAGCGAGCACAATTTTCCTTCTTTATAATGTAAGTAAATAAACAAATGAGAAGTGTTTCTGTTTAAAAAAAAAAAAAAATGCGGGGCTTGTAGGTAGCTCAGCCAGTTGAACATCTGACTCGGATCCCAGGGTCGTGGGATTGGGCCTTGAGTTGGGCTCTGTGCTGAGCATGGATCCTGCTTAGGATTCTCTCTCTGTCTCTCTCTCCCTGCCGCTCTCCTCCACTCACACTCACTCCCCCCCCCCCAAAAAAAAAGTTATTTAGGGGCTCCTGGCTGGCTCAGTTGGTAGAGCATGAGACTCTTGATCTCAGGGTTGTAAATTCGAGCCCCATGTTGGACGTAGAGATTATATGAAAATAAAATCTTAAATTTTTTAAAAAATATTTTTATTTATTTCTAGGAGAGAGAGAGAGACAGACAGCATTAGCAGGGGAGGGTCAGAGAGAGAATGAGACATAGACTCTGAAATAGTCTCCAGGCTCTGAACTGGCAGTCAGCACAGAGCTCGACACGGGGCTCGAACCCACGAACCGCGAGATCATGACCCAAGCGAAAGTCGGACGCTTAACCGACTAAGCCACCCAGGCGCCCCAAATCTTAAATTTTTTTTAAGTTACTTACAGAGCTCATTTGGGTCCTATAATAGACAATTATGAATACTCTTTAAATATGTGAAATCCAGTTTTGATATTAAATAAGTCCTTCAAAGTGAAAACCTGTTTAAGCTTTCAACCATATTGGGATCTTTTTGTTTGTTTGTTTGTTTTGTTTCTTAATGTTTATTTTAGAGAGAGAGAGAGAGAGAACGAGAACAAGCAGGGCAGGGGCAGAGAGAGGGAGACAGAATCCGAAGCAGGCTCCAGGCTCTGAGCTCTCAGCACATGGCTCGATGCCTGGCTCGAACTCACAAACCACAAGATCATGACCTGAACTGAAATCAAGTGTCAGATGCTTACCCAACCAAGCCACCCGGGCGCCCCTTCAGGTAGAATTTTAAAACTATTTCATTAATACATTACAGCATATATGGGAGGAATTGAAATCCAGTGTGTTTATATCAAGTTTCTTTATCCAGCTTAAAGCTGCATTAGAACGCTGAGAGTAATTTATAATTATTTGTATCACTCTGACATAATTGTTGACAGATTGGTAGACTTACTTTGACAAATGTTTACAAGTTAGAACAAATGTTTCTGATTGTCAGAACCTGCACATGTAAACCACTCAATTTCTGTTAGATTTTAAATGATTAACTGAAGCAAATGATTTAAGTAACATAATTCACCTTTTACTAGGAAGCTTTCCTAAGAAACCTGCTACTTTCTTGGCATCATCTCAAATGATTAAATTGAAATCCATTAGTTGTAGGGTTTGTTTTTTTTTTTAAACCATTTTAACCTAGGCCTGTATGTGTCAAACCCTGAACGCATGAGCTCATAAATATCCCACTCTGATTAGAAGCAAAAATGCAGTATATTACCGCTCTAGTCATAGATTTCCTTGACATTAGAATATACGCTACCAATGTTAGAAATTCCCAGAAAAGATTGGCTGTGACCATTGAAAACCCACAGCTTATTTTTCTGCTTGTTCCTGCTACAACTTGAAATTTGTTTTATTTATTAAAAAAATGTTTTTAATGTTTACTTATTTTTGAGGAGACAGCATGAACAGGGGAGGAGCAGAGAGAGAGGGAGACACAGAATCTGAAACAGGCTCCGGGCTCTGAGCTGTCAGCACAGAGCCCGACACGGGTCTTGAACTCACAGACCCTGAGATCATGACCTGAGCTGAAGTCGGACGCTCAACCAAGTGGGCCACCAACGAGCCCCTTGAAATTCATTTTCGCTGACAACTTCTATTTCAGAAGACTTTTTTTTTCCCCTTAGTTTATGAAAACTGAATTCTTGGTTTCTCTATGTGTGCAAGTCCAGTGATTTGGAGAGGCTTATTTATGGGGCCTGGTAGAATAATGGTGCCTTTAGGAAAGCCTGTAGACCACTACCAGAATATACGGTCAGCGGGGTGCTGTGGCCTTGCCTTAGTGGCTGGGGCGCCTTATGAGAGCCAGATTTGAATAGCAGAGAAAACGTCACTTTCTCACTGAAGGCCCTGAAATTCAGGTGAATCCTTCCAACACCTTTGCAAATGCTCCTTTGGGACAGTCCCCATTTGCACCAACAATAACTTCAGTGCAAAACCGTTGGCATACCTTTCAGGTTATGTGAGCCCCTCTTCTGTCTCTCTTTGTCTGTGACTTCAGATCCTTCATCTAAGAATCATCACTGAGTGTGGTCCCTCCCGCTGCGCAGAAGCTCCTAACCCCTGACCAGAGCCCCGCTTTCACCTGTACCTGTGCTGCTCACCTCCAGTACCGTCCCTTTGGATGCCTCACAGGGGGTGCAGGGAAGGCAGAGGGGCTGTCGGGGAGAGACCAGAGGATGTAAGATCACGGTTTTCAGTCCCGTGGACAGAGGAGAGTCTGCGGTCCTGACCTGTCTCCCACTTGGGCTGCTTTGACGGCTCTGTCCTCGCGGTGCCCCTGTCTCCGATGGAGGCTTCTTCACCTCTGTCCCCGTGGCTGCCAGAGTGGGCCATTGTCAAGTGCACGTCGGGTACGTTGTCCCCCTGCTGAATCCCCTCTGTTGCTTCCCTACGGCTTGTGACAGAGGCTGGGCCCCTTAGCACGGCACAAAGACTCGCTCCATCTACCTCACACGGGGTGATTCGGCTGCAAGGAGCTCCTGGGAGCCCTTTGCCCTTCGCCCCTTCTCTCGCCCTCCGCAGCGGCTGGGGTATCCATGCGCCCTGCTTCTCTCACTGTCCCTTGCACTTGGAGTTTCTTTTTCCTTAAAGACAAGTTTTGTTTTGTTTTTTTTTTTAGGTTTATTTATTTTAATGTGTATTTTTGAGAGAGAGAGAGAGAGAGAGAGGGAGCCTGAGCAGGGGAAGGGCAGAGAGAGGCGGAGACACAGACACAGAGCATGCTCTGGGCTCTGAGCTGTCAACATAGAGCCTGACACGGGGCTTGACCCCATGAACCATGAGATCATGACCTGAGCCACCCAGGCACCCCTAAGTTTACTTATTTTTGAGAAAGAGAGTAAGGTTGAGCTGGGGAGGGGCAGAGAGAGGGGGAGAGAGAGAATCCCAAGCAGGCTCCACTCTGTCAGCTCTCAGCCGGATGCAGGACTCAAATTCATGAACCCTGAGATCGGAATCAAGAGTTGGGCGTTTAAGCAACTGAGCCACCCAGGCGCCCCGCACTTTGAGTTTCTAATTATCAGTTGGCTCCAACTCTGGACAATAATCTTACTGGGTATAGGACCTAGGATGGGACCTGGCACACAGTAGGGACTCAGATTGTATGATTAAGGTAACACTCATGAATAGTGTTGGCCAGGATGAATTTGAGAAGGTATTTAGCTTACTCTGGGGAGTCAAAATTAATATAATAGCTTTGTGTATCTGTGAGGGGCAATCAACGGCCCCTCAAACGGTTACTGAGTTTGAGCCCCGCATTGGGCTCTGCACTGACAGCGTGGAACCTGCTTGGGATTCTCTCTCTCTCTCTCTCTCTCTCTCTCTCTCTCTCTCTCTCTCCCCCCCCCCCCCGCTCCTACCGTGCTGGTGCTCTCTCTGTCTCTCTCAAAATAAATAAATAAACTTTTTTTTAAAAAAAAAGGAATTTGGTATTAAAAGGTTATTTGATGGGGGCACATGGGGGCTTGTTCAGTTGAGCCTCCGAATCTTGGTTTTGGCTCAGGTCATGACCTCATGGTTCTTGGGTTCAAGCCCTGCATCGGGCTCTGCACTGATAGCACAGAGCCTGCTTGGGATTTTCTCTCTCCCTCTCTCTCTGCCCCTTCCCCCCCCACCCCTCAAAAATAAACATTTAAAAAAATTTTTTTAAAGGTTATTTGATGAATGTTATAAATAGCACCAGTGTTTTTCTAGTTATCCAGATAGAAGTTCTCAGCATTTTGTTTGACAGCCTTTCCCCTCTGCAGCCCCCAAACTCCAGATCCACATACACACGCTTAATCGGTTCTTAAGTCCTGTAAAGTCTGCCAGCAAAATGTGTCTTCCTTTCCAAGCGCTCCTGCACACCTTCGCTAGAGGAGTTTTACCAAAGCACAGGCTCAGTCACGCTATGCATTTTAAGAACGTGCCTGCTGAATTAAGTGCTGTTATGTTTTGATGCCTTCTGAATGTCCCCGATCCCTTCCTAGCCAGTATTCTCATTCATGTTTAACCTGTCTTCCCCTTAAGTCCGTGTAACCTTGTAACTGAAATAGAACCACAATACAACAGTTTCCACTTTTCAAAGAATAAACACTATGTATGCGAGTGATGTACAGCAGGGGTAAATAAATGTATCCCCTGTGTCTTTTACTTAATAAATGCTAGTAACTGCAGATCAAGTAAGTGTGTCAGGAAAAGGAGTTAATGGTTCTTGTTTCTCCATTGAATTTTTCATTTGAATCCGGAGTCGGTGACAGCATAATGGCTATAACAACGTACGTGTCGGGTACCCCGAGTCCCCCGTTCTTCCATTTCCTCTCCCAAAGATGAGAATCCAGTTGCTGATACTGATGGGGATGGGCAAGAGGGATTGGGGGTGTCGGGAGGGAAGGGGGACTCCCTGGAAGATACCCTTTGGAGCAGTTTGGATGACTTTGGATTCATTTTATCAGTCCTCTGCCCTTTTGGATTCATTTGATCTCTAGTCAGTGCACAAAGAGAAGTACTTCCCGGCTTGAATTGTTGACTCTGTCATTGATTCTAAGTGATTTCAGGTTTTTGTTACCACTCCTGCAAAGTCAGACATCTGTGGTTTCTGGTATTTTCTTGAGGGCCCAGAGGGTAGCATAGTCATAAATTACCTGCCAAGATCCAGGAAGCACTTAGTTATCATATGTAACAGTAGACCAGTTGCCCTGGTGTTCTGCCTACCCCTCTGCAGAGGAAGGAGCCGTGACTTTGGGGTTTGAATCCTGCTTCTTC